TAGTCCAAGTTAGTTAACATACAGTGTAATAATGATTTCAAGAACAGAATTTAGTGATTCATCACTTACATTTGACGCCCAGTGCTCATCCCAACAAGTGCCCTCCTTAATGCCCATCATGCACTCAGCCTATCTCCACACCTCCCCTCCAGCAAGCCTCAGTTTGTTCCCTGCATTTAAAAGTCTCTTATAGTTTGTCCCCCTCTCTGTTATCTTATTTTTGCTTCCCTCCCCCATGTTGATGTTTTGTTTCATAAATTCCACATTTCAGTGAAATCATATGATATTTGTCTTTCTCTGACTCATTTTGCTTAGCATAATACACTCTAGTTCCATCCACACTATTGCAAATGGCAAGATTTCATTCTTTTTGATGGCCGAGCAGTACTCTGTGGTATATATACCACATCTGCTTTATCCAGTCGTCAGTCGATGGACATTTGGGCTCTTTCCATACTTTGGCTGTTGTCGATAGTGCTGCTATAAACACTGGGGTGCATATGCCTTCGAATCAGCATTTTTGTATCCTGTGGATAAATACCTCGTAGTGCAATTGCTGGGTCATAGGGTAGTTCTATTCTTAGTTTTTCGAGGAACCTCCAGACTGTTTTCCAGAGTGGCTGCACCAGCTTGCATTCCCACCAACAATGCAAAAGAGATCCCCTTTCTCCGCATCCTCGCCACCATCTGTTGTTGCCTGAGTTGTTAATGTTAGCCATTCTGACAGGCGGAAGGTGATATCTCATTGTGGTTTTGATTTGTACTTCCCTGATGATGAGTGATGTTAAGCATTTTTTCATGTGTCGGTTGGCCATCTGGATGTCTTCTTTGGAGAAGTGTCTATTCATGTCTTTTGCCCATTTCTTCACTGGATTATTTGTTTTTTGGGTGTTGAGTTTGATAAGTTCTTTATAGATTTTGGATACTAACCCTTTATCTGATATGTCATTTGCAAATATCTTCTCCCATTCTGTTGGTTGCCTTTTAGTTTTGCTGATTGTTTCCTTTGCTGTGCAGAAGCTTTTTATTTTGGTGAGGTCCCAATAGTTCATTTTTGCTTTTGTTTCCCTTGACTCTGGAGACGTGTTGACTAAGAAGTTGCTGTGGCCAAGGTCAAAGAGGTTGCTGCCTGTTTTCTCTTCTAGAATTTTGATGGCTTCCTGTCTCACATTTAGGTCTTTCATCCATTTTGAGTTTATTTTTGTGTCTTGTGTAAGAAAGTGGTCCAGGTTCATTCTTCTGCATGTCACTGTCCAGTTCTCCCAGCACCACTTGAGGAGAAGCTTGGTTCTTAAAACAAATACCAGACCAAGCACCCAAATGCTGTCAAACTCTTCCTTCTGGCCCTCAAGATAGTTGTAGGAAAAGCAGGTATAAAAAAAAAATCTGAAAGTTTGCTTTGAATGGTATACCCAATTCAATTTCAAAAATAAAATGGAAGTGATCCAATTTTGTCATGACTTCATGTGGAAGGCTTTTCTAGGGAGCTGAACAATTCTGTGACCCCAGAGAGAACATCCGCTGTTCAGAATTAGGGACAAAGAAGAATCATACTACATTGCTCCAAGGAGTGATGAAGTGATTCCCTACCAACACATTTGCCAGGGTTTAAGTAGCAGGAAAGAAATTGTTGCAGAGGAAAAATTTTCCTCTACCCTTCAAAGGTTCCTCTGGATGGTCTAAGAATTAAATTGACACGAGACAAAAATTTTTTAAAGGTTTATTTATTTTTGAGCGAGAGAGCATGAGCAAGGGAGGGACAGAGAGAGGGCGGGGGGACAGAGAATCCAAAGCAGGCTCCATACTGACAGCAGCAAGCCTGATGTGGGGCTCGAATTCACAAACCATGAGATTATGACCCGAGCTGAAGTTGGACACTCAACTGACTGAGCCACCCAGATTCCCCTGATATGACACAAATTAACAGAAAACGAAATTTAATTTCGTGCATTCAGGAACCCCATGTTCATGAGCTACAGAGACAGAAAGGTAAAATGATGAACCTACGCCATCCTGAGCTAAGGAATGGGAAAGGCCTGGGCTTTAAAGGGAAAGAGCACAATTCACAGGGCAATAAGAAGAAAAGCACATGTTTGGTAATTGGATATATGCCCTGCCATACAGATGGGTCATTTTTCTTTCCTTTTTTTTTTCTAATTTAATTTTTAGTTAGTTAACATACAGTGCAATATTGGCCTCTGGAGTAGAATTCAGTGATTCATCACTTACATGCAATACCCAGTGCCCATCACCACAAGGGCCCTCCTTGATCCCCATCACCCATCTAGCCCATCGCCCACCCTCCTGCCTCCATCAACCTTCGGTTTGTTCTCTATCATTGAGAGTCTCTTGTGGTTTGTTTCCCTCTCTTCTCCTCTCCCCGTTTCCCATATGTTCATCTGTTTTGTTTCTTCAGTTCCACATATGGTGGATCTTGAGGAACTTAACAGAAGACCATAAGGGAGGGGAAGGGGGAAAAAAGAAAGTTACAGAGAGGGAGGGAGGCAAACCATAAGAGACTCTTAAAGTGAGAACAAACTGAGGGTTGATGGGGGGGGGGAGGCGGAGAGAGGAAAGTGGGTGATGGGCATGGAGGAGGGCATTTGTTGGGATGAGCACTGGGTGTTGTATGGAAACCAATTTGACAATAAATTATATTTTTAAAAAATAAAAAATAAAAAAATAAATTCCACATACGACTGAAATAATATGGTGTTTGTCTTTCTCTGATGGACTTATTTTGCCTAGCGTAATACACTCTAGCTCCATCCATGTCATTGCAAATGGCAAGATTTCATACGTTTTGATGGCTGAGTAATATTCCACTGTAAACATACATCTCTTCTTTACCCATTCATCAATCAATGGACATTTGGGCTCTCTCTATAGTCTGGCTATGGTTGATAGTGCTGCTACAAACACTGGGGTGCAGGTACCCCTTCGAATCTGTATTTTTGTATCCTTTGGGTAAATACCTAATAGTGCAAGTGCTGGGTCATAGGGTAATTCTATTTTTAGTTTTTTGAGGAACCTCCACACTGTTCTCCAGTGTGGCTACACCAGTTTGCATTCCATTCGGGTTATGTACATAAAATTTATCATTGGTAATAACTCTTATTCTGGAAAAGATACCAAACTGAGATTCTTCTAGGTAGCTAAGAGAGGAACTAAAGTTTCTCTTGATCCCACAGCGTTCCAATTGCCTTCAACTCCAAATAGGCCACATGCCAAGCAGGCACAGTTTGGGGAGACTTGCTCTGAACCCCCTCAAGACTAAGGCCTGAAAGATCAGACCTCAGTGAGGAAGTTGGCCCTGGCACCAAAGGCCCCGTGAGCAGAGGCCAGAAGCAGAGTGGCAGGAGCTGGGAGGTAGGGGGAGAGCAGCACCTCAATGTTCTACTTGCCCTCCCCTAGGAACAAAGATCAAGTTGGGACTGCTACAGAAGATGCTCTGGGACACCCCATGCTGGTTTCTGTGTCCTTCCCTGCCAGCTGCAACCTCGACCACAGGATTCCCACATGTCCCCATATGACAAAACCCGTAGACCCCCCCCTTCTACCTCCATTACTCTAAACTCGATTTCATTTCCATTCAACCTCATTTTGAAAAGTTTCAGGAATAAAAAAGATGTATTCTTTTCTCTCAACAAAGGACTGGTTTTCTGACAGCTCAAAGCTACTTCTACTTGGTGTAAGTATCTACTTCTCCTGCAAGTCGTGGTTGACACACTAAAATTCAGTACTTCCATCAGGCATAACTAGCCAGGTTGGGCTCAGCAACTTCTACTGATCAAACATCAGTACACCCGACATCAATGTAATTGTTCAGCTTCTCAGTGGGGGGCTGGGGGGGTCATTCAGTCCCTCAGCCACCCCCAAATTATTTCCTCATCGCAACCCAGGTCTCCAGAAAACAAACCAAAGTCCTTTGTTTTCCTTTCTCTACACCTTCCACAAACCCTGTCAGGAAATTAGCACAATCGTATGTCAATTATATCTCAATAACCTAAGGGGAAGAAGGAAGAAAGGAAGGAAGGACAGAAGGAAAGAAGGACAGACAGAAGGATGGAAGGATGGGAGGACAGAAGGAAATGAAAGAAAGAAAGAAAGAAAGAAAGAAAGAAAGAAAGAAAGAAAGAAAGAAAGAGAGAGGAAGGAAGGAAGGAAGGAAGGAAGGAAGGAAGGAAGGAAGGAAAGAAGGAAGGAAGGGAAAGAAAGAAAAGAGAAAGAAAGAAAAAAAAGAGAAAGGAAGAAAGAAACTATCATGGAACATCTTCTAGAGGAAGGATTCAACACAGATGTGAAAACAGAAATCTGCAAATCTGAAGCAATTTCATTTCAGAACGGAGACACATTGTGAGACTGAAATAAATGCACTGGTCACAAAACATTTATTAGCATGACTGTCCGATTTCTACTCCTCAAAGGAAGAAATTTTTTGATTTTTTATTTATCTTTTGTCATTGATTCTAATTAACCCAGAAAATAATAGAGCTCATTATGAAATAATTGGGCACTACAATAAAAGAGATTTAGCTGCATTAATTACAGAAGTTAAGAAAGAAAAACCCACCTCTGTAAAACACAAAATTTCTTTCTCTGTTAAGAACACATATACAGAATGCAGTAAAGAATTTAAATTCATGTTGAGAGAGCATAAACCACAAAATCAAAGTAAAGTCATTACTATGCATAAATTCACAATTAACTGGATAAGCATGCTCGATGCATTCAAAGAATTTTAAATCATTGCAAATCATTCACGTAACCATGCGAGACAAAGAATATACCTCTTCAACAAACAACATAAATCAGCAGGGTGCCCCATCAAACAAAGACCACACAATAATCAAGTATTTAACAGTTCTGATTTAAAGTTACTTAAATCAGAATGTTCCAAAGATCATAATCCAGAAATTTTAACCATTCACTCACACCACCATGAAACAAGCACTTAAAGAACCAAAAGAAACTAAGCACATAGATCATGTACCTGGATCAATGAGAACTTCTTGTGCCCCTGGAAGAAAGAACAGAGTATGGTCTTTTATTTGGAAAACAAAACTATTTTTAAAGACAACTACTAATCACATTTCATGCTTCACGTTGCCTTGAAAACTCTGAGGCACATCTCTCTGATCAGAAGAGCAATTCTGAATAACAGTATGTCACAAGTTTGGTGCCTTTTTGCTTTGGAAGGAAAAAAAAAAAGCTGCCATCACCCACACCCTGCACAAACTGTAAAGTGCCTCTTGCCTCCTGCCCTCCCACCTTCCAAGTGCATACTCCCCTACTCGCCTTAACCAAGGAGAATTTCTTATTCCCACAAATAAGCCAAACAACAAAGGAACAGTAATTTTTTTGTGTGCAAATATATGCCCACAGCTTGAAATGGAGGGGAAAGTTATTGGAAGGTTATATGGAACTTAGCTCTACCCTCCTGAAATCTCACACTCGTTCACTGAATCGCTGCACGCTTCACCAGCTACGGATTTCCAACTTCTAGAAGGTGCAATACAAAACAGTTAACTTCACTATTATCAAGAAGCTTTTGAAAGCCTTGATCATCTGCTAAACTACCCAGATACTAATGAGATCCAACTAGCCTTCTCTGGAGGACAGAATTCCCTGTCACCTGAAGAAACACTGATCTAAGAGTTGTGCTTATCATTAGCTACAATCATTTGCAAATATGTTGACAAGTTCAAAAAGGTGTGTCCCAGTAAAAGCTAGTCTTATTGAAACAGCATATTCATTCAATTGTTTATACAGAGACTACGCCCCACAATCCTATTTAAGAGCTATTTTGTGTACTGCAATCTCTACTGTTAAATGAAGACAAAAAAAATCACTGCGATTTGAAAGCCATGACTATAATGAAATTTAAAAAATAAAAACAAACATAAAAAAAAAACAGATGCTTCTACTGCATACCAGCTATACACCAAGCACGTGCTTGACAACATTGTGTGTGGCCGTGTGATTCTCACAGCATCCCCACAGAGTGGACAGGGACGATTAGCCCCATACCGCTGATGATGAAACCGTAGCTCCGAGGAGCCAGGGATGCCCCACCGTCCCACCCCCAAGACACGTGCCCTGTGAAGAACACACAGACCTCCCCTACGGGGACACTTTGGGGAACTGGGGGCTTCCAGATGACCCTACGAACTTCTCCTTCATTGGAAAACCTGCTCGAGTATATTACATTGTGCCATGTCTGTTAAATAGGGAATGAGACTGAAACTTTTTCCTGCCTCAGCACAGTCATTATCACAACCATCAATTACTTGACCTCTCGGCACATGTAGTGATGAACCGGGCCCCATACTAAGTGCACTGCGACTGCAGGGCTTTTAAAGTTACCTTCGTCCGTGTGTAAGAGTCTTTGTCTCACGTCTCACACAGGCCGAGGACTATCACTTCTCACTGGCCTGGAGGGACCACCTAAAACAACCCTCGTCTGCCTTTTAAATTCCCTTCATCTCATCCCGTGTGAGTCTGTAAGCCACATGGCCCAGATAGTTTCTTCAAACAGCAAAGAAAAAGCTCAGCCACAAAAAAAGTAGACAGTTCTTTCCCAAATGGACTTTAACATCTAATTGGACTTCCTGGGAGCCTTTCCTTTTATTAGCTCACCTCCAGCCACTTACTAGTGTTCTCACTGGGAGGAGCAGCCCAAGTACTTTGCTGTCTGTTATCTGGCCTGTTCGGAAGGGTGGGGGGACACAGGAATAGTGGGTGCTGTCTGAGGATATCGCACAGTGAGCGAAAGGGTGTCCTGCAGCCTGGTCTCCACGGCTACAAGTACCCTGATGGGCTCTGAGATTTGATTATCAGCATCATGAGGCTCCAATGGACTGATTTCACATTAACCGAACTCCTAAGAGACTAACATAAGAAGAGTGGAGGTTGAACTTGTTAGTGTAACAGAAGACAAAAAAGTTACCGATCAGACCAAATATCACAGTGCAAATATCACAGGGCAAGAGCACACTGCCCCTCAACGGCCCGATCACGGGCAGAAGCAGAGCAGGACGGGTTTTCTTAGATTCACTGAGACCAAATATCTGTTAGGGGGACGGACTTGCCGCCTGGATGAACAATCGAGGCTGGCCACGGTGACTCCCACGGACACCACGGTCAACACTTGCGTAACTCTCAGTCTTTCTAGGCTGGCAGAGCGCTGACTGACGGACAGACACAGCTGCAGACCTGCAGACGGGCTGACATCCCAGAAACACCTGAAACCAGTCTCCGGGAGCCCAGCCACACTGCCAGGTGCCTGCTCTGACGCCAGCTCCGTGAGCTTGGTCGGGTTGCCTACCCACTCTGTGCCTCAGTGTCCACATCCGTAAAATGGGGGCAATCATCAAGCCTACCCTGCCAGATGCTGTGAGGATTCAGGGATTACATCAGGCACGCTCTGAGAAACACGGATAGCACATGTGAAGTGCTCAACGAACGGTAACTATTAAGGTGACTTCACAAATCTCCCTTCTAATCATCTTCCATAGTTCCTCATTGTCCCATTTACAAGCTCTTGGGGAGTACCCTTCTGCTCTAGCCTGTGACCTGGGGAAAGTGGGAGGAAGAGGCCATTCCTCCCACTGCTCCGGTCCCCACGAGGAGGGCTCTCCCCGTAACGCTCCTGACCGTGTGGCCCGGCTCGTCCTCCTCACACGCGTGGCGTGGCTTCGGGAAAGTTTGGGGGGCGAGATGGGCATGGGAACCCCTCTTCTTCCCTGGGGTGCCCAGCTTCCCCGGTGTCCTGAAGACTTGGGCAGGTCCTCTCAGGCCCAGAGCCCCCTGGGCCGGTCTGACCAGTTCCAGACACAGGAGGAACACACCCATTTTCCTGCACCCCTAAATTTCGTGGAGAATGTGGCTTTATCAGTAATAAAGGTGACATCTGTCTCCTCCTGCCCACTCCCATCTCATCTCCCAGTTGGCTGGTGGAGAACACAGGAGTGCAATTATTGGACCCCTTAAGCCCCAACATACGCTTAATTAACGAACAGTTCCGTGACTTCAGGTGGGTTGACTACAGAACGCCCCATCTCTGACGCTGCCGCGAAATTACGGCCACAGGAGCTACCGACCCTCCTCAAACCGTTCACTCACTGCTTAAGTGCATCTTTCTTCGTGGAACTGTCACTTCCAATTTTAGTAATCGCCAAAGAGTATAAAATAACGGCTTTGTGCAACATAACAGCTAAAGTTCACGAGCTCTTTTACGAGATAACCACTGCTAAACGCTTGACATAATTTCTCCCTAATCCTCATAATTCTCCAAAGAAGACATTAGCATCCTCATCCAGATGAGGAAAAATCTCAGAGAACTGACGCCAGTTCGCACGACCAAGTGGCGGCCTGCACACTCACGCCCAACACGAAACACAAGGCTTGGTCCCCGAAGCCAAATCACCTTCCGCTGATTAACCCTCGGAGAGTTCGCGGTTCTTCCGCTTGAAGGCGCTCCAGACGCTGCATCTACCCCTGTTATGAAATCACGGCTGCCTGGCTTCTAACACTGGAAGAAAGTCCAATTTCACCACTGTTCACACAGCACGTCTGAAATTTTCACGCCGAGATGACAGAATAAAAATAAGATATAAGTGGAACGCCTAGACAGAATGGACGCTGTACCATTCTGAAACACGAAACAAAAAAAAAAACCAAATTAAAGGACTGTTGGTTAAATAAATCTTCTTTTACAAACAGGAAAAGTGAGACTGAGACTTTTCAAAGGTGCAACAGCGCCACCTACGGCCACAGAAAGGCTTTCTACGCTGCTGGAAAAGGTGCAAGAGAAAGTGCCTGCGCGGTAAGAAAAAAGATCAGCAAGGGTTTTAAAAACAGGGTGCTCAGACACCTTAACCGAAGGCTTAGCGAACACACAGCGAGCACACGGCAGCTTCAGGGAAGGGGGCGTATTCAGCACTTGATCTGGGATCTTTAACACTCCCGAATATATACAAGACCCAGGCTCACGGAAACTAATCTGAACGGGAAGGAGTCTTGGGCGTCGGGTCCAGCCTCTTCGTCTTGCAGACAGGGAGACTGAGACCCAGGGAATCTGTCCTTCCAGCCATCAGTAGGAGAGCTTACTCCTAGTCCTGGCATGTTGCACTTACCAATACCCAGCAGATCTATACTAACCCTGTGTTCATAAAGGTCACATCGGTTTTTTTCTAGCAGTAGGTAGGTATTCTAAGTGTCTTGCAAAATACTGCCCAAAGAGCTGGTAACTATACATCATACAACTTTGTTGAAATACAAAAATGTTTATTTACATAGTAAAACAGTATGAGTTCCCCCCTTCTATTATTCCCTCTATTTAAAAAAAAAAAAAAAAAGTGATGCCAAATGAACATTTTGACTTGTTTTAACCTATTAAGAGTACAGAAAAAAATCAAAATTTTCTTCACTCACAAAAGAGATAAGCTTATTCCCTGAAAACAGCTCAATATCAAGTTTTCTAAACATACTGGCTATGTAATGTAAAGGTTTTAATGGTTACATGGCAATATGAATTCTAAGTTGTAAAAACACACGTTCTATACAAATAATCTTTAAGTTCTCCATCTTAAGGCAATTTAGCTATTCCCTATGTCACTAGAATGACACTGATCCCACCAAAGCTTCATACCCCACTAAAACAATGTAACTGGGTCCCTATCACTTTCAATCATACTCGTATTATCATATGCATATACGTATGGAGCATGCATCAGAAACAAACCGCCCTCTTCAGTATTCAGGGTTGATACTTGTAAATAACCTATGCTATTGTGACAGCAAATGCTTACTGAGCACCTCTTAGGTGCTTTGTATACAAGGCAGCTAACTCTCATAATCACACAAATTAAATAACATCACTCAAATTTCACAGGTGAGGAAATATACTTAGGCCATAAAAAGCAAGTCCCAAGTCCCATAGAATCTGCGTGCTCACCAGCAGAAAGAGAAGAGTCTAGGTTTTTACCTTCTCTCAACATTCATTAACTTAATCTTTTCTTCTGTACTAATGGCTACAGAAAACCATTTCTGTCTTTGGAGGTTTTCTCCCAACAAGCATCACCAGAGAAAAGCAAGGGCTAAGCCATTAGCAACGATGGCTGGATTTTCAAAGCCCACTTCTCTTTTGCACTGTAATCATTTTTAAATGTTGTATTTTTTAGTGCTTACAGAGTTGAAACTAAAATGGTAACTTTTTACATTGTTTGCTGAGACTAAATCAATTGCAAAAATATGTCATTTCAGGGACGCCTGGGCGGCTCAGTCGGTTAAGCCTCCAGCTTCGGCTCAGGGCGTGATCTCACGGTCCGTGGGTTCGAGCCCCACATCGGGCTCTGTGCTGACAGCTCAGAGCCTGGAGCTGCTTCGGATTCTGTGCATGTCTCTCTGCCCCTCCCCTGCTTGTGCCTTGTCTGTCTCTCAGAAACAAATAAATGTTAAAAAAAATTTTTTTTTAATATATATCATTTCAATCTATGTCCCTCTGTCTCATGGTCTCACTGATCTCTTCTTTTAAGGCCTCATCAGGCTGAGATCACTAAAACGTGGCAGTGATGAACTCACCAGTGCTCTGGAAACCAGTCAACGGGCGGCTGGTCAGAGCAGCAACCCAGAACACAAGCTGCACAGTCAGAGCAACCTGGGGCCCGGCCCCGAGTCTGCCTTCGCTGGCTGCACGACCAGGGGCTGGGGCCCAGCTCTTTCTGCCTCAGTGCCTCACCTGCAGAAAGGAGATACTGATATGTGCCCTCCGACACCTGCTGGGAGGCAGGACATAAGGACAGTGCTGAGCACAGCCACTGGCCTAGGCAGGTGCTGAGTAATCCATAGCTGTTTTGATCATGACAATGATGGTGATGATTAACACATGAAGACAGACCAAAGAGTAGAGGTAACCACAAAAAAGAAACATGTACGAGTCAATAAGCATTTCTCTTCACATTGACTGCAGAATGTCCTATTGATTTTCTTAATAAACCAAGGTTTGTCCATTAATTATAGCATTACACGGGGCGCCTGGGTGGCGCAGTCGGTTAAGCGTCCGACTTCAGCCAGGTCACGATCTCGCGGTCCGGGAGTTCGAGCCCCGCGTCAGGCTCTGGGCTGATGGCTCAGAGCCTGGAGCCTGTTTCCGATTCTGTGTTTCCCTCTCTCTCTGCCCCTCCCCTGTTCATGCTCTGTCTCTCTCTGTCCCAAAAATAAATAAATGTTGAAAAAAAAAAAAATTTAATTACAGCATTACAAGTTCACATGCAAGCTTCCAGAATAAAAGAATTTGTGGCTTCTAACTTTTGAATACTAAGAAAGTTGAAGGAAAAAAAAAAAAGGAGAACGAAAGCAAAAGAGGCAGGGACTACAGAATTCTTCTGCAACTACAATAACTCGATGTTAGGAGAGAAACAATTTCCTTTCATCCAAGGACATCTGCCGGATCCGAGATGTCTGGGGTATTCTAACCGTACTCATTAATTCACATCACCAAGTCTTCAAACTACCTACTGCTCACCCTAACACTCTCGATGACATTGTCGCTGACAGTTACCCAGGGCCGGGTAGGACAGGTCCATCTCAGGCACCTTCACAGGAACCCTAGGAGGGGAATACTGTCACTACCTTCCCCGTTCTGGAGACAGAGAAACTGAGGCACCAGGAGCCTAAATGCTCCAGGTCCCACTGATAGTAAATGCTGACAGTAAAGGACAATGTGCATTTCTGCTGTTGAGGAAGGAATGGACGCAAATGCAGGGAGAATGTTAACAACCGGCTCGTCTGGTCTTGACGCCATCCGCCGTGACGTAAGAGGAGGGTGCAGCGGACAGCCCCGGGGTCACTATTCAGGACGAAACGACACGCCTGTCCGTGCCACCGAGCACAGCAGCAGACCTGAACCCTCTTCTGCGAGAAGGGCAGTAAAGTCAGCCCAGCTCTGTCTGCCCTCACCTGAGCTTCACTGCACAGCCTTCCCATCGGTGCCTCCAACAGTCAGAGCGCCCGGGCGGTCTACACGACGCGAGGCTAAATAAAGACACTTCTCTACTGCAGACAGAGCAGTTTCTCAGAAAAGTTTAAACCTTTTCTTTTTTTTTTTTTTTTTTTTTTTTTTTGCCTACACTCAGCAAAGTGGAAAAATGAAACATTTCTCTAAAAAGTCTTGAGTCTCACTAATCACATCAGTACAACAGTCTCAACACATCAGAACTCTTCAAATCACGGGGGAAACAACCATCCCCACCAGAAGGCACTCCCAGAATGTGCAGGAGACTGACTGGGGAAGCGGGAGAGCCCCACCGCAGGGCCACAGGGCCGCAGCCAGGGCCACAGCCACGCGCTCGGCCTCTCAGCCGGCTTTCCCTTCCCATCAAGTAACTGGGGGACGACTGAAGTCATCCAGGATGCTGTGCCGAAGAAGGATAAAATATCTTCTCTTCTAGAACCATTACAGACCCACCCATGCAGCCCTACACACAACTGTGCAGCCGCAGGAAACCAGCTCCCGAAGGTCGCGTCTCACTCTCTGTTGGTCACAGGTGAAGTCAGGACAAAATACATTCAAGCCACTCCCCTACCCAATACGCATTTACTACCAAGGGCTTTCTCTCTGGGGAAAAAGTGTCAAAGAATCTCATGGATCAAAAACCACCTCAAGGTTGGGCATGAGGCCTTGATCTCCACACTCTTTGCTCTTATCTTCATGACCTAAGCAGTATGACAAGTTCATCCCTTAAGGGTCAAAAGGCTCAAGTTTATTCGGAAAAACACTTGTAAGTCTGCTCCTCCAAGAAGACGTTTTATCCCTCACTGGTGCTGACAAACCTAAGCAGATCAAACTGAACTTATTAAAAGAAATTCATCGGGGCGCCTGGGTGGCTCAGTCTGTTAAGCGTCCGACTCCTGATTTCAGCTCAGGTCATGATCTCATGGTTCGTAAGATCAAGCCCCGCATCGGGCTCTGTGCTGACAGCATGGAGCCTGCTTGGGATCTCCCTCTCCCTCTTCCTCTCTCTCTCTGCCCCTCCCCGCCTCGCGGGAGTCTCAAAATAAATAACTAACCTTTAAAAAAGAAAAGAGAGAAAGAATGTCATCAAACTGAAAACTAAGGAAGAGACCAAGCCCTGAATTAGCTGTTAAAGTTGACACCTGGAGCTAGCTTTCCTAAATACACAAAAATTAGGAAAAAGACCCAGGCACAGAACTTTGAGGCCAGTCTACCAAGAAACTTTATTCAAGTGTTCCAGAAATGAAACAATCATTGTAATCCATCAACAGTAAGATTCCATAAGATCAGTACTCAATAAAATCAGAAGAAAACGTCTCGTCCAAGATTTCTGACTCAACGGCTTTTCTATTTTATGTAAACATTAGTCAGGTTTCACTCACTCAGAGAGAAACGTAATCAATTACTCCTGCATGCTTAAGAGACAGGGAAGGAGTCCGGGCGGGAGGAAGGCACAGAGCTTACCTGGTCGGTGTCTGTTGGCTGCTTCAGCAGGGAGAGAGCTCCCCTGGAACCTGCGAGCTCCAGTCTTACCCCCAGTTCCACCAGGATAGTGACAGATGACAGACGCGGAACATAACCCTTCAAGGGCAGCTGGGTGTTTAAAAAAGAACAACAACAAAAAAATACAATTAGTAAAGTTAGTGGCCCATCATGAGCTCAACCTGCAGGGCCTAAGAATGATCTGAACACGGAACAATTCGATTATGTAGAAATGCCAGTTTCTCCCCAAAACAAAGATGGTTCCTCCAGATCACGGGTTTTGTTCCCAACAGGAGCATACCACCCACTACCTTTCCCACGCCCATGCCGAAGCTGGCAACACAGAACACTGTCGGGAGACTCGAGGTCTCACTGGGAGACTGAGCACACACGTGAAACAGGCCAGCCTCTTCATCCTTGTCACCAACACTTGAGTGCCCACCACGTGGCAGGCCCAGTGCCAGACCCTGACGCTACAGAGCCAGGGAGCGACAGATGCTCCGGATCAAAAATGTTCAAAAATAAGACAGCAAAGCAGGCCCACAACACCTTGCCCCGCCATATGCCCTAAATGCATCGGTTTCCTTTGGAGCAAACACCTGTAAGCCTGTCTGGTCCTCAAAGGCAGCCACGGTTACTTAGAGTATGGCCGGCAGGCAGGCAGACCCTAAGAATCAAGCTCGGCCCCAGGCCTTCTAAGTTACTCTACAGTGTTCATGTCTATGACTGCAACGCTCCCCAAACCTTTTGGTCTTAACACCCCTTCGCGCTGTGAAAATCACTGAGGATCACAAAGAATTTTTTCTGTGCAGGTTACATCGACAGATATTTACCATATTTGAAACTATAACTAAAAACAGATTTTACTAGGTATGTGTTCATTCCTTTTTAAAATAATAATCCCACTATATATTATATATTGATGAACAGTAACTATTTTCCAAAACAAAAATATAGGCTGGAAGGCTGGTACTGTTTTATATTTTTACAAATGTCTTTAATGTACGGCTTGATACAGTGAGTTGGAGTCTCCCATCTACCTCTGTGTTCAATCTGTGGTGATGTCACAGGTCACGTAGCCTCTGGGAAACGGCATTACACATTCGTGAGAGACTGGACCAGGCAAACAGCATACAGCACAGGCCGTGCCCCCACCCCCCTTCTTCAGGGACACTACCGACCCAGCTGGTCCCTATGTGGGTCATGAGCAGGGACCCTTCCTTCTGGATAAGTGCCCACCACAGGGGCCCTAATGTTACAGCTCCCTGAAGTATGGATATATTCCACCGACCAATCTCTAGCCCCCTTAAATCGAATTATGGAGTTTAAGTCCATTTTAAGAATTTCTTATATTTAATGGTTCCAGAGCACATTGCTAAACTTCCATTAAAGAACTTACTCCATTACTGTATTTTGACTTGTATTTATCATAGTAGCTCACAGGCCTCCCGACTAATCTTTCCAGGAAAGAACCTGATTTCACTCCTTACCCACACAACATTTATTTAACAAGCGTTTATGGAACATGTACAATAAGCTGAGTTATGGACACACACAGACCACGCGTCCCACCCCACGCCAAGGAGATGGTCCCTGAAGGAAAAATGCATGTAAACACACAATTCCAGCACAAAGGGCAAGCTCCACAACAGATGGGGCTCTGGACAAGACTCTGCAGGCCCCCACTACCTGGAGGGGTGAGAAAAGGCTATCCTTTGAAGTAGGTTTTTTCCTCCTTTCTTTAGTTTTTCAAATTGAAATGTAACTCACAAAACTCACCCACTGAAAAGTGCCCAAGTCAGCAGTCGTTAGTACACAGACAGTTGGGCGACCATCACCACCGTCTAACTCCAGAACGTTTCCATCAGCCCCAAAAGAAACTCCACGGCCACCTCTACCTCTGGCAGCCAGGAATCAGTTCTCTGCCTATTCTGGACACTGCAGCTGATAGGTGGCCCTTTGTGCCTGGCTCCTCTGACTCTACGTGGTGCTATCAAGGTCCGTCGCATTTTATGTCTCTCATGTTATCGAAGTACAGGGGACGTACCATGTGGTTCTGGTTTCGGGTGTATGCCACACGGACTGGACGACTCCATACGTCACTTGGTGCTCCTCGCGACAAGTGCGGTCACCCTCTGTCACCACTCCACGGTATTACGGTATGACGGACTATCCTCCCTGTGCTGTAACTTTTCACATTTTCACACCTTCACGACATTCCACTGCGTGGACATACCACTTCTGGCTGACCCGTCCACCAGCTCGTGTACACACGGGGTTTTGAAGAATGAGGGCAGGAGGTGACTTCGCTGGGGAATGGCATCAGCAGAGGGCAAGATGTGCTTAAAAACAAACAAGCCCGGAGGAACACGGAAAGGCAGCCCATGATACAGGACAGTGTGGGGGGTGCCTGCAGGACGCCGGGGCAGGCCCGGGTGGGGACACAGCAGCAGACACGGCAGGAGGGCTGTCCCCGCCGATCCCCGACACCGACCAGACAGCCGACTGCCTCTCCTCCCTCATCCTTCATATTTAGAATTCCTTTTCATTTTTCTCTTTTCTCTTACTGCAAATAACAGTTGCTGCAATCACATATCTGATATCTTCATGAGATGACCTTACCTCCGAGCCACAGGAAGTCATTGACTGAGCGGAGAAGTTCCACGGACATGTGGTAATGCACCAGAGAGTCCTGCAGCATCCCGGCCTGGAGGCACAGGTCTCCCACATGCTTCCGCATGCGCCCCTGGCACCGCTTCTTGTAATGTCTAAAAAACACAACGCGTGGAAATGTGTCACTGCTAGCACACACGACTTCTGCCCCCAAAGCACACTGGCTAAGCACTATTCAACCCTCTCACTACAAAAAAACAAAAACAAAACAAAAAAAAAAAATGCTAAGAAGGCAACGGTAGGCTCTGTAATTGAGAGGCAGCAACCATCATTGCCAGTATGTGAGCTGGAACAGTCCCGACTTCAAAAACACCTGCCAGGTATTTCCTAGAGGGACGAGGTACATGTGACTTCCACCATGCATTTCCCTCAGACAATATTTGAGTGGGATTTTCCTTCACAAATTTTCCTACTGTAACGTCAGCATGAGAAAGTTTATGTTTCAGCTTTTTAGAAAATCAATCACCTTCCACTTCCTTAAATTCAAACCTACTATTATTTTATAAAGAGAGTGATGTTGCATATCACAAGCCAGCCGTTGGCTTTTGCAAATAAGACCTTTATCTTCACTACTTTAGAGCCAGCTTCAATAATGCCTTGAGAGGGCGGGGCCTGGGGCGTCACCAACAGCTCCTTAAATATTGGCAAGGATGTGCTATAAATAATGCAAAGGCTTCTCCCTCCATATCAACTGAAAACCAAAAAAAAAATGTTATCAAAATATTCGTTTATCATTTTTTAAATATTCCTATTCTTTTGAATATTAAATTTCTTCAAAGAGAAGTGTTTTTTTTTTTCAAGAAAAATCGCAGCTATATTAAATTTTTTTCTCACCGAGAAACCCATCATATCAAGAATAAAAACCCCTACAGGAATCCAAAAGACGTGAAGTTTCTAGCTAACTGAGTGTTATTGACAGATCTCAGTACAAAGTTAAATCTTCACAGATCTAACTCTAACAAACACTATAAACTCTTTGGTCACCCCAGAATTTAGTCTTTCTGTTCCCAGTATGGGTTGTACTAAGATCATCACGTAAGGCAGGGGAGAGAGAAGAGGAAAGCCCAGTCTCCTTCACAGCCACAACGCAGTGTTAGCATGCCCCCCTCCCCCACTAACAAGCCAGCCCTCCCCATAAGAAAACTCCACACCTATGCCACCCTGGCATCCCCAGCCAGACGCCCTCATCTCTCTCCTCCTGGATACTTCCACAGCCTTCCAACGAGCCCCTCGCCAGTCTCCACTCCGTCCCCGCTACACTCACGCCCACCCGGAGCGGCCTTCCCAAAGCATAAATCTGATTCAGTCCCCCACTTCAAACCCTTCAAGGTTCCCCAGTACAGTTCTGGCTCCCCCACTGCACCCCCCTGTGCTCTGCAGCCTTACCCGACCCCAGTGACCACGGGCCCCACCTTCTGCCTCACTACTTCATGCTCTCCTTAGGCCTCACCTCATTTGATGGTCAGCTTCTCAAGACAGCCTTCCCTGCCTCCTACCTCTGCACTTTGGGCAGGCGTCCCTGCTGTGCTCCTAGAACATTCTAGCTGAATCAACTTCTGACATCTTTAAGCCCCAAAATGACACATACGTTTTGCTTCCTACTGTGTATCCATTCCTCTCCCCTGGATGCTCAGCAGCACATTTGCTATCAATAAACAGATGAATGGATGGGTCTCAAAGGGACTGAGCTGCTCCTGCCCGGCCCAACCCCCTCCTTCCACTGAACCCAAAACCAAGAACCCTCTTCTAAAGGCCACTCCCCACTGACCCGTTCACTGCCTCCCTCTGTTGTCAGTTCTGATAAAACCCAAGCTCCTCTGAAGCCCTGTATGACAGGCCCTCTCGAGTGTCCTCTCCACCAGGAGCAGCCCCCACCCTGAAGCCTGGGACACGGACCCCCGCCCCCCAGCACAGGACACCTTCCTCAAGCCCCAACCCCACGAGCCTCCAGGCCTCCGCCCGGGCCGCTCCCGCCACCTGAGCCGCCCTCATGGTCCCTTCACCTGGCTGGCTCTTATCCCGTCTTCAGAATACACACAGAGCCCTCTGTCTCCTGGAAATCTCCCCTTGTTATGTCCCTCAGGTCTTGGCCGGGCTGCCCCCCACAACACGACCGCACTGTTACCATTCACCCCATTAAAAGCAGGGCCTCTCTGAGAGCATCTGGGGAGACGAGGAGGATGAGAGCAGAGAAGGGAGGAACAAAAAGCAAACACAGCCAGGGGCGCCTGGATGGCTCAGTCGGTTGGGCGGCCGACTTCGGCTCAGGTCATGATCTCACAGTCCATGAGTTCGAGCCCCGCGTCGGGCTCTGTGCTCACAGCTCAGAGCCTGGAGCCTGTTTCAGATTCTGTGTCTCCCTCTCTCTCTGACCCTCCCCCGTTCATGCTCTCTCTCTGTCTCAAACATTAAAAAAAAATTTAAAACGAAAAGCAAACACAGCCCAAGCCCCAAAGTCAAGGCTTCTCACGTGTGTGTCACAAGCCACCGGACCTGACGGGCAACAAAACTTCCACTTAATACCCGTGAAAACATCTCACCGTGATACCAACATGCAGGGACTTTTCACCCTACTGAGTAAAATTAGACAACAATGTCAACGGAACAGAAGTTCAGGACGCACCACTGTGTTCTCCGTTCCAACCGGAAAAGGACTTGGCATCCAAACGCACATTTCCTGCCTCCAGCAACATTACTGTCAACTCCCGACACGTGGCTCAGCGTGCGAAGACTGCCACGGTGCTGAGTGACATACGTAGGGACTAATCGGCACCTTCCCCCTCCCCTGCCCCCTTCCCGTCTTAAACTGGCATTATTCCCCCTCGTGACAGAAGCCCCGTGACAGGCCCTCACTCTTCTCTGAACCCGCAAACATCGTGCCTTACCCTTAGGAGGGTCAAAACAGAACTGCTTCCTCCAAAGTCACTATCAACGCTCAGGAGATTCTTTTAAAGTCTTTGCGGGGGAAAGACTATTCCAGAACTATCCACCAATCCTACAGGTCAGCTCCTGCTCCCAGTCCCCCCAGAGCCCTACCCAACGTGCCTTCTGCTCCATGGGACAGACCAGGAGTCTGGGACGCCCTGACTCCTCAGGCCTCTGCGCCCTCCCTCAAGGACCAGCGCGGCTCTATCCCACCACCCCATGCGACTCTGGGTCCCAGGGGGCTCTCCTCCACCCTCCTGCTGCAGGAGCAGTCCTCCCGGGATATAGGTCCTGCACACCAT